CCCCCCCCCCCCATTTGGAGGTGTTCACCTCTTAGTGTGGGTGCGTTCGGGAGAAGTTCTGTCGAGTTCGGGGCGGCGCGCTACCCCCTGCGGGAGGAGGGGCGCGCGGGCTGGGAGCGGGAGGGACCGCGGGCGGGGAGCGCCCGACCCGGGCCGAGCCGCGCTCGCTCGGAGTTACAAACTCTATTGTGACGCACTTACTACGACTGACGGCCCTTGCCAAACCTTCCCCAGACTTGCTGCCCTCAGCACTTTCGGCAGAACAATGGGGCCGGAGCGGGGAACGCGGCCAGCCGCCTGCAAATCGCTGCATCTGCGCCCGCTCCTGTGCTCCAGCGCGGTATCTGATCCCGGGAAATCAGAGCCCGCTGGGAGTTTCCGACTTCTTCAAGTCGGCCCTGAGCAAAGAGCACGTGTGAATAGACTTAACACGAGCTGCTTCTCCTAAAACTTGTGTGCGTGTCCGTGTGCGTTAGAGCACCGGTCACACGTTGACGATGCAATTGTATTTTGCTTGGTGGCAGGAAGTTTAGTCCCACCCCCTCCCCTCCCCCCACCTCGCAAAGAGAGAGATAACTTTTGTTATTTTAGGTGTTATTTTTATTCTTACCTGGAAGATTGTCAGAAAAATAGACCAACTGACGACTTAACGTTAAAGCATTCGCTCTTCTAGAAATGTTGAAGGAGTCCGTGAAAGTTAGCTACATTTAGTTACTTGTTACAGTTACTGTTTTGCTTAAGATAATCTTAGTTTTTATTTTACTTGCAGAAAAAAAGACCAAATGGCAAAGCAACCTTCAGATGTAAGTTCTGAGTGTGACAGAGAAGGTGGACAATTGCAGCCTGCTGAGAGGCCTCCTCAGCTCAGGCCTGGGGCCCCTACCTCTCTACAGACAGAGCAGCAAGGTAATCCTGAAGGCGAAGGGGACCGCTGCCCCCAAGGCAGCCCTCAGGGCCCGCTGGCCCCACCAGCCAGCCCCGGGCCTTTTGCTACCAGATCCCCGCTTTTCATCTTTGTCAGAAGATCCTCCCTGCTGTCTCGATCCTCCAGTGGGTATTTCTCTTTTGACACAGACAGGAGCCCGGCACCCATGAGTTGTGACAAATCAACACAAACCCCAAGTCCTCCTTGCCAGGCCTTCAACCATTATCTCAGTGCAATGGGTAAGCAATACCCGGGTAAGAGGTAGTTAACGTGTGGTTGTTTGACTGTGTAAAGGCTGTGTGTAACATTTACATTAACCCCCCTTTTAGAAACCCCTTTTACTGACTTATTCCATGTTTTGGCAGGAGGGGAGGATGTGTCAAATAAGACATCAAGCCAACATTGATTTTAAATCAGGTTTTGTAGCAGCAGTAAAATACCCCCAGGATCTGCCTGTTGAGCAGTAAAGCCGGAATCCCTGTTCCTGCCTTCACTGAAGTGTAGGTGTTGTTGTAACCACTAAGACTCACTTATTAATGACCCTGTGCTTGAAGGGGACTCAGTCAGCTACAGCAAATAGCTTAAAAACATGGCTAAATGTATGGAGGGAAACGAGACAAGTTAACCATTTTCAACAAGGACGCTTTAAAAAACCGACCTTGTTTGTAAAGGCAGTACCAACATAGAACCATGGAAATGGTTTGTTTTCTACTCACATTTCTCTTTGGGCTAATTTTGTTTGCTCAGGGGTTTTAGGTATAGCACTAATAAGATTAGATTGTGGGTTTTTATTTCAGGGATTAAACAGTGTTTTGGGGTCTGAACCAGGAGTGGCAAACATAAATGCCCAGGAAAACCTGACCATATAATCACAGAGGGAACTGACCTTGTGGGAACTAACTATGGGAAATCAGGGAGCATTTGCACTTTTTACGTTAGAACTGCCCCCAACTGTGTCTGTGTGGGTGTGTGGTCTGAAAGTAGTAGTTGTTTTCCTATTGTATAGTGCAAGATAACCCAGGAATGTAGATTTTGATGCCAAATATCCTGATGTTTAGACATTGGCAATTAATTTAGAACTTTGAAAGCACTGTGCAAGCCAGATAAAACATCTGCAGGCTAGATTTGACCCTTGAGTCCCCAGCATGTGACTTTGAGCATGTTTGCTTCTGGCAACCTTGGTAAGGGAGTAAGTCTGTGTTGATTCAAGTCACTCTTCCCCACTGATGGAAAAGGTTCATGTCTTGATAAGGATTCACCAAAATCTTGCTTCCCATTTGGACAGATTAGCCTTTCCTGGATTAATGAAATATAAGCAAGTTGGCAGCATTATTCCTGAAGGATCCGGTATATACAGACTGTTAGAATGTAGATCACATTTTTGCCAGAAGCTAACTAAACAGTCATCAGGCTAGACATCTGATTGCTGGAACACAATGGCAAATTTGCATTTACAGATAGAATGGGGCTGTGCCTCCTAATCTTCAGATGGGGAAACCATGCAGGTCTGTCCCCATGTTACGGAATTAGAGCCTCAGAAGGTTGGTCACTTGTCAGATTGGGCACACGTGGGAAATGGCAAGCAGAGACGGCAAAAACATTGGTAACTGTGCATATTGGCTAGGTGTCTCCCGCTGCAAACTGAGATCTACTTCATTAGGATCCCTCCTTAAGAAAAGGAGCTAGAAGTTTTATTGCTGCTACTTACTTCTCCTACTACTGTCCTGAACTCATTTAAAGCTTAGAAGTTCTCGGTGCTTGGGAATGTTTCTCTGCCCATGAAAGTGAGTTTATGAACCTGTAGCATTCTTGCTCACTGAATGAGTGAATAGGGCTTAATGGTGTGTAGTTTTAAAAACCTATGTATTTTAAGGATCCTTTGGAAGCCTTAGTTTTTCCCTGCAGACCTATGAATCCGCCTCTACAGGTGGTGGCTTGATGCATAGATAGAGTTTATCTTACCTTGTGAACCAGAAATAGTGGGTGAGATAATGTATTTTTTTTTTTTTTTTTTTAGTATGTATGGTAACATACTGTTTAGCGAGATTATAAGGTAAGTCCTGTTACTCCAGATGACAGATGTAAAGCTTTAGAGATCACAGTCTAAGTTATTAAAGACAGTTATGTTTATACCTGTGAAGTCAAGTCATGGATCCTGAGGTGTAATTTCATAGCACTAACTACATTCCGGTAGATTGGCATGATAACCGAGAGTTTAATGCAAGGAGTAAATGATAAGTTATAAGGAGTTTGTCTGAAGTTAGTGCATCAAGGTAAGTTTTCAGTATTTAGTTCTGGGGAGATCTGTTTGCTGGGGTGGGGGATGAGTGGGGGACTGGAGAGGACTTAGATAGATAGGAGTTTTATTAACTGCAGAATAAAATTGACAGCCTTTGTAGTCTATAACTTTTTTTCATGGTTATTCTTCTAATAGTCCAGTGCCTAAAGACCCCTGAAATCTGCTGAGTTGATAAAATTGGGTTCTGTTCTCTTTGTAGTCATGTTTAGTGTTCCTTACTCAACCATGTCCGTTAAGATCTTCAATGAAGCTTTTGATAATTTATTGCAAAACGCAATTTTTTTCTTTTTCACAAAGAAGTCTTTATGATTGGTTTTCCCCAGGGCAACACAAATGTGAGGTTATAGAGAGGTTCTCCTCTGCCAGGGGCTCCTGCTCCTTCACCCACAAAATAGTTTCTGCTCCTCGAGTGGGGAAAGGAAGCAGCGGATCTGGTAGTTCTGCTCCTGCATCTTTGTTCTGATGAGAAAGTTTATTCTTGTCTGGGATGTGCAGCAAGTAGATGTTTTGTTTATTCTAGAAATGCTTTCCTATTTTTCTCGATATCCCCAATTTTTCTGGAGGTCTTTAAAAAATACTCTATTTTTCCATGAGGAGAGAGAGAGGGTTCTTTTTTCTTCTTTCCTTTTTTTTTTTTGTTTGCTTTCACCAATCAAATTGTAGTCTCCTTACATCCTGGGTCAATTAACTTAACAAATGAGCTCTTAGTGGATAACCGATTATTCTGCCCACAATCGTTGACAGAGGTATGGGTTTCTGAGTGCCTTTGCTAGTGAGTGTGCGTATGCCATGTGCGTTTTTAATACAAATTGTGTACTGTTTTCTGCACAAGTTTGTACTTTGAAGGTGTAGTTACTGCTGGTGGAGGTAAGAGTTAAGAAAGGTCAGGATGTGCCAGTGAATATTGTGAACAGGGTGAAAGCTCCGTAATTAACAACTTCCGGGTGTCAAATGACTTAACCTTTATATTCTCTGGAACATCAGAATTCATAGGTAGGGGTTAATCGTGTTCTTGGTATTCCTCCACATGATGTGCCTAGTCCTCTTGCACCTGGCAGTTATCTGGCAGATTGTGAGCCCTCCGAGGAGAGGCATGATGTCCTGCAGATCGTAATGAGGGCCTGACAAAGAGGACATGCCCAGGAGATGTTCAGAGTTTGGAGTTTTGCCCATCAGCCTTTCCATAGAGCTACCTGAAGACAAATAAGATTTCAAAAAAAGTCTAGCAGCTGGAAAAAGACCCTGTGTGTCTCCCCTACCCCGCCAAATATTTTGAGTTATTTGGCTCTAACTATAAGGTTTATTATGTGGGGGTGACAGGTGAGGTCTGGCTCAGTGGGGAAGCCACAGCTTCCCACAGCGGAGTACTGAGCACTTAAGATGCAACTAGTCCAGATTGAGATGTGCTTGTTCCTGTCAGTTCACACTGGAGTTTGAAAACTTCGTGGTGCATAAGAAAGAATATAAAATATCTCAGCCGTGTTCATATGAATGACATGTTGAGATATTTTTAATATACTGGGTTAAATTAAAAACGTGGGTTTGTAAATTTTTTTAGATATTTATTTTCGAGAGAGAGAGGGTGTGAGCAGGGCAGGGGCAGACAGAGGGAGACACAGAAACCAAAGCAGGCTCCAGGCTCTGAGCTGTCAGCACAGAGCCCGATGTGGGGCTGGAACCCACGAACCTCAAGATCAAAACTGAGCCGAGGTCAGACGCTTCATCGACTAAGCCACCCAGGCGCCCCACCTTCACCTTTCCTAAGTGTGCGGTTAGTAGCGTTCAGCGTATTGACATAGTTGTGTAACCCACTCCCAGGACTTTCTCATCTTGTAGAACTGAAACTGTACCCATTAACTGTCGGTTCCCCACTTCCTCTCCTCCCAGCTCCTGGCAACCTTCGTTTTATCGGTGTCTATGATTTGGACTGTTGTAGATGTTTCATATAAGTGGGATTATACAGTATTGATCTTTTCATGACTGGTTTATTTCACTTAGCATAACGTCCTCAAGGTTATTCATCATTGCTAGACCTTCCTTCCTTTTTAGGGCTGAATAATAGTCCATTGTATTTATGCAACATACTTGATTAATTCATTCATCTGTCATCGGACACTTGGGTTGCTTCCGTCTCTTGGCTGTTATGAATAATGCTGCTTTGAATATGGGTATGCAGATATCTCATAGATTATACTTTGGATTCTTTTTGATATGTGCAACCATCTCTTCAAAACCATGTTTTTGATTCTTTTGCATATATACCCAGAAGTGGGATTGTTGGGTCGTATGGGAGTTCTATTTTTAATTTTTTGAGGAACCTCCACCGTGTTTTCCACAGTGGTCACACCATTTGATATTCCCACCAATGGCCTACAAGGGTTCCAGTTTCTCCGCTTCCTTGCCAACATTTGAATATTTGTTTTCCTTTTTTTTTTTTTTCCCAGTAGGAACCATCCATTCGCGGTGATATCTCATTGTAGGTTTTGGTTTTTGTTTCCCTGATGATAAGTGACGTTGAGCATCTTTTCATAATGCTTGTTGGCTTTTAAATAAAATATATTTTTTATATGAATTTTATCTGTTTGTCTTTACTTTTTGAAAGTGTTTCTTCGAGAACAATGTCACATTAGCTCTGTGGCTAGCATTCTGTCTTACCTGGGTGGGCTGCTTTGCAGATGGAGGAGGTAAAGTGCAAGAATTTTTTTTTTTTTCTTCACTAGTTCCAAATGAAGTTTAGTGACTAATGGCTGTGTAGACAGTTCTAAATTTTATATCTTTTTAAAAAAAAAACACTTTTTAAGATCATTACAGATTTACATGCAATTGGAAGAAATCCTACAGAGATCCTGGGGCGCCCAGCTGGTTCAGTTTGAAGAGCGTGAAACATGGATCTTGGGGTCGTGGGTTCGAACCCCATGTTGGGTGTGGAGATTGCTTAAA